CTGAGGCCGACAGATGAGCCTCACCTTCCATGCCAGACACTGTCAGGTGAGCTCAGGGAGGGGGTCTCCCAGCATCGCCCCCAGACATGCTTGTCCCGTGCCCCACGCAGTGGATCTGGGCTTGGAGACCACAGACATTCTCCTCCAACTCTCAGGCCATCTCCAGGAGAGCCACCCGCCCATCCCTGCTCCTGGGAGGACACGGGAGAGGATGGCAGGCTTAGGGCGGGATTCGAGCTGCAGTCGGCTGTTTGTTTGTCCCCTGAGGCCCCCACCCCCCCTCGCAGCAGCAGGAGGGTCAAGTGAGCTCTACACCCATTCCCACCACTTCATTCCCCCAACCCATCCCTGCCCATCCTTCTCCGCTCCCCAAACTGCACCCTGCGCCCTCCCACCCCAGAAGTTATGGCTCGGACAGCTGCCATGGACAACAGCACCACCGAGGTACCAGCAGGATGGGGAGAGAGGAGCCTGGGTCGGGGCAACCCCCTTGCCCACCCTGTCGGTGCCCTTATCGCCTATGTCGCTGGGACCCGGGGCACTGAGCAGATGCCATGTGGCCTCCAGGGGCTGCATCCACACTGAGATTGGGCTCCACGTCCCTGTCCCTGCCTCTGCTCAGGACCTCCCATGGGCGCCAGCAGGTGCTAGAGACCTGTGAGGTGGGAAGCCTCCCACCCTCCTTTCCGCAGTTTCCCACAGTAACTCAGGTCTGAACATTTACACAGAACATTGGAGAAATGCTGTTCTCGGTAGTTTTGAGTGGTGCCGGCTCTGTCCCACCTCCCCTAAGTCAGCCTGGTCTATCGTGACCTTGCTGGCCACACAGTGCTCAGGCCGGGTACCAGGAAAGGGCCTGATTCTGGCCAGATTCATGAATGGAACAGCCACAAACACTCCCTGCCTGGGAGAGGCCAGTGCCAAGGCTAAGGGGCGGAGGTGGTCAGCACTACACGGCCACGGCCTACGGAAAACCACCTGTGAGAGAAAGCAGGGAGGCCTGGCCTGGCTTGGCCATCACATCCAGAGGCAGCCATGTCCGGGTAATGCTCACTTGGGACAGGAATGGCACGAAATTCATGTACAAGAGAAAATAAAATATCCCTGAACAAGGAACGCAAACAGGCTTACTTGGTGCAAAAATGTTGAGTCCTACCTTCCCAGTGCACGTTTCCCAAGTGTTGCAGGCCCTGAGAACGACGCGATGGACATGGGACTTCAGGCTCACGGCCTGGGGGCCAGGACGGACTCCAGAGAGAAGGCAGAAGGCAGGCGCAGGATTTGAAATCTTCCCCAAAGGCACCTCCCCCAGGGTCATTACTTACCCCATTGACAGCGACAAACAGTGGAGGGGGTGGGGCAAAAAGAAAATGAAGAGGAGCCCTGGATGGTCCTATGGCGACCTAGAGAATACAGGCAGGGGAGGGTAAATGCCAGCAGGGGAGCAGGGCAAAGAGCAGGCCCAGGTCAGCACAGGAGGTCAGCCCTGCGCGGAGCAGGCCCAGGTCAGCGTACAGGGAGGTCAACCCAGCGTGGAGCAGGCTCAGGTCAGCACAGGTCAGCCCAGCATGGAGCAGGCCCAGGTCAGCACAGGAGGTCAGCCCTGCGTGGAGCAGGCTCAGGTCAGCATACAGGGAGGTCAACCCAGCGTGGAGCAGGCCCAGGTCAGCACAGGTCAGCCCAGCGTGGAGCAGGCCCAGGTCAGCACAGGTCAGCCCTGCGTGGAGCAGGCCCAGGTCAGCACAGGTCAGCCCAGCATGGAGCAGGCCCAGGTCAGCGTACAGGGAGGTCAACCCAGCATGGAGTAGGCTCAGGTCAGCACAGGTCAGCCCAGCATGGAGCAGGCCCAGGTCAGCACAGGAGGTCAGCCCAGCATGGAGCAGGCCCAGGTCAGCACAGGAGGTCAGCCCAGCGTGGAGCAGGCCCAGGTCAGCCCACGATATGCCCTGACGTCATGACCTCTGCCCTTGGCCATGCCAGATGCAGCTTGAGCCTTGGGCTGGGGCATGCCAGTCCTCCCACCATCACCTCGGGGGTCCCACGTCCCTTCTTAGCCACCAGATGCATGCGTCCAAAGAGAGGCAGAGTGATAGGTAGTGTGTGGACAAAAAGACAGAGATGCTTCGTTCAGTGACTCTCTCCCTTGGGTCCACAGCAGTTGGGGCTGGTCATGCAAAGCCCCAACTACCCCGGTCCCCAACATGGATGGCAGGGACCAAGGTTATTCCTGTCCCAGGCCCTCAGCAGGGAGCTGGTGGGAAGCGGCCTAGGTGGAACTGGACGTGTAGCCAAGTAGGGGACTCTGGTAGTGGCTGAACCAGCTGACCACAGCTGGCCCTGCACCCCCACCCCCTAGTACCAAGGAACAATGCGAGTCCACTGAGCTGGCCTGGGAGTGATGGTCCCACAGAGGTCTAGCAGACCACAGCCGCTGTGCCTTCCCATGCGGTGTGGAAAGTGTGTGACCTCTGACACAGAGAGAGGCCCTGGTCTGCCTGGCTGCTAGTGGGGTCAGCTGGGGTCCTGGGATCCTGAGAAGCCAGATGCCTCTTGGGGTCCCAGTGCCCTGACTGACCCTAGGTGCTCCCTGTGGCACCTGCCCTCAACATCACCACAGAGGGCAGGCCGGAGTGGGTAGGACCTCCTGGAGAGTCGGAGACACAGTGTGGGGCAGGACCCCCTGGGGAGTTGGGGACACAATGGGGAGAGCAGGACTCCAGGGGAACTGGGGCCGCGAGCAACACAAAGGCCTGGGCCTCACTGCTCACCAGCCAGAGCTCCTTCCTCATTCTCCCGTCCCTCCCCCATACCCCGACGGCAGTTATGTAACGCCGCTTCTGAAAACAAAACAGCCTGCCCCGTGCCAGGCGCAGCAGCAGCACAGGGAACACGGCAGCCGCCCCAGCCTTCCTGGCTGCTGTCCACTGAGGCGAGGGGCGGGGCCGCACAGCCCCACTCCTGGGGACCCGGAAGCGTCTTGGGCTTCAGCAGGGGCCCATGGGAAGGGCCAGTGCACACTGTTGTCTTCCAGTCTGGAGAAGTGCCTGGGGGTATGGCCCTGTTCCTGAGCAGCTCCTGGAGTCCCCCTCACTTTTGGGGAGAGAAGGGAAATGACTGACTCCAGCTGGCACTATGGCACAGCACGCTAAGCTACAGCCGGTGAGCCTGGCATCCCACACGAGCTCAGGTTCAACTCCAGGCAGCTCTACTTCTGAGCCAGCCCCCTGCTAATGTATCCGGGAAAGCAGCCAAAGATGGTCCAAGTGCTTGGGCCCCCACCAATCACCTGGGAGACTTGGAAGAAGCTCCCGTCTCAGCCTGGCCCAGACCTGGCCATAGCAGCAAAGTGGAGGATCCACCCCTCCCTCCCTCTGTATCACTGCCATTCAGACAAATCTAGGCCTTGGTGAGCAGGAAACCTTGAACGGCTCCCTGGTGATCAGCTGGCCCAGGTAAGGGTCTTGGGGCCAGGGCTCCCAAAGAGGCCTCCAACCCACGCAAGACTGTGACCCAAAAAAGGATTCAGGTCAGATCTGAGCCCTGCAGCAACCCCTTCGGTGCCAGTGAGGCTTAGGGGTGGGCAGGGAGGGCCAGCGGTGGAGAGGGTCTCCTGGGAAGGGGCGGGGCCTCCACAGCATCCTCCCGGCAGTTCCCTAGCAGCATTCAGGACACAGCACTGGCCTGGGTTCAAGGGACAGGACAGGTACCTCGGGGCTACACACGACTGTCCCGGACCATCCCACCCAAGACACATGTCTTTCAGGCGCTGTTTGAGTCTGTAGTGCTACATCAGAGGAGCCTGTGGCCACCACACCAAGTGGAGCTGGATGCTGCTGGGTCACAGGGCTAGGGCAGCCAAGGTCAGGTGAGAGGTAGCCTTGCGTCAACAGAAGTTGCCCGAAGGCCCCCTAGGAAGCAACTGTATGCATGGGAAGCCCCCTCACGGAGTGGGGAGACACACCAGGGTGCGCATGGCTGATGGGGCTACCTCAGCTACACCCATTCCTGGGCACGGTTAGTCACTAGCTGCTTTACAAGGTGAAGTGTGTGGCATTGCACATGTGTGCATATGTGCTATAAGCAGCCCTCAAAGCCCCTGGGTGGCAGCGTCCAACCAGAAACAGCCGGCAGGTGGCTCTGCCAAGGCTGGACAAGACAGTACCAGCCCCATTGCCCCACAGACGCCTCTGTGAGGCCGAGACCCCCACTGCAGGTGCTTTGTTCTAGACTATTCTTGAAGACGTCTAGAGGCACACAGAGACAGCAAGCACAAGACCAGCTCTGCTCATTTCCCACCTGGGTACAGGGACCACCACCCAGCACCGCCTTCCCAAGCAGGGAGCCAGCACTGCAACATGGGCCACTTCCAGACTGGGTGCATTTGCGTACACGCCTCCTTCAAGCTCGCCCTGGCACTGTTCCTGCCTGGCTTTCTCACGAAACCTTTCCGTTCGGGACCCGAACAAGCACAGTAGGTTCAACTGCATATGGAGCTAGTGGGAAGCTATACGGGGCAACCACGTGGGGGACAGCAGCCAGGGCCACCCTGCTCAATACTGGCCACACTAGGACTTCCCCAAGGTGCCCCGACTGGAGACCTGCACCTGCTACCCAGCACTGAGACCAGCATGTTGGGGAGCACACGGAGGTGCTTCCAGGGGTGGGCCCAAGGCTGGCCACAGCATGCCCTAGAATTGGTGCCTGGAGTTCAGCTTCCGCTCGGGAGCGAACCCAAACCAGATCCACCCTCCCAAGGCCCTCCAGGGGTTGCATCACGCCCCAGCATCAGGCCAGCCCGGAAGGCGTCTGCCACTTCAGAGCCCTGGCAGCTGGCTGCTGTGGAAGGCGAGCCCAGCCACGCCCACAGCCATGTGACAGGGTGGGGGTGCACAAAGGCCTGAGGGACAGGTCCCCCACCCCTGACCCAGCCAGGGACAGGTTTTCAAACCCCAGCCCCCTTTTCTAGCATTGCCAGGGAAGGACCACATGGAGTCGGCAGGGCCGGTGAACGTTAGGTTGGTTTATAAGCGCTGCTCCGGGCAGTTAGTTTGTTTACAACGAGAAGTTATCTGAGGCTGAACATGCTGTACGTGGTAATCAGGAGACGTCACCCAGAGGAAGCTGCAGCCGGCACTGCGGCCAGCACAACACCGTGGGGGAGGGGCCGCACTCGGGCACCGCCCACGGCCATGGGCCGCCACCAATTCAAACCTAACCTGGCTCTGCTGTAGAAAATCCAATGTATCAAAAGGCCCACTTCAGGAATGGCCAGGGCCCTGAGGGACACACCAGGGGGATGTGAGGCACACCCTGGTAGGGGATGCCTGTCCCCACTGCCGCCCACATCCCATATCCCCTCCAGGCCCCGGCCTGCCTAGGACAGCTCTCCCTGGATAAACCCACCACACCCCTGTCCTCCTGCATTTAAATATAAAAACATTACTTGGCTTTTCTCCACAGAGGTGGCAGAGCCATTTGAGAAGGGGACACCTCTACCTCGGAGGGGCCTCGGTCACGACCCACCCCCAGCTCCCGAGGCAGGGACCCCAACCCCGAACGAAGGCACTGGGAGACTGGCTCAGGAGAGGGGGCAGGTACGGGCAGGCCCCACCCCCTGGCTCCTGGCCAAAGACGGCAAACAGGCAGGCGGGCTGAGGAGCAGCACAGGTGCTATTGCACAGGGCTACAGCAGGCGGCCAGGGGCGCGCTCAGTTCTTGTATTGGAAGGGCTCGTCGCCCGTCTCATTGAGCAGGCAGGTGCGCACCAGCGCCTCGGTGACGGCAAATGGGTCGCAGTTGGCTGAGGGTCGGCGGTCCTCGAAATAGCCCCGACGTTCCTGGCCCACAGCCCTCGGGATGCGGATGCTGGCGCTGCGGTTAGCCACCCCAGCCGAGAAGTCGTTGATGTTGGAGGTCTCGTGGAAGCCGGTGAGGCGGCGTGCGTTGTCCAGGCCTCCCTTGGGGTCATAGGCACGGATGTGGTACTGGTGCCGCCGGCTCAGCTTCTCAATGGCCTCCTCGATGTGCCTGTGGGCCCAAACGGGGCTCAGAACACACGCAAGTCCTGCCCCCCGACAGAGGCACAGTGCGGCTCCCCCAACCCCCTACTAGGCTTCCTTCCCAACATGCCTCCTGCCAGACCTGCCACTGAGCCCACCTTTCAAATGCCAGCGGGCACTTCTGGGGGCTCAACGCTGAGCGAGGTACTGCCCTGCCCACCCCTCCAGACCCCATCCCCTCACTTGAGCCCGTTCTCCTCGCGCATGGCCTTGGTGCTGAAGTTGGTGTGGCAGCCCGCGCCGTTCCAGTTGCCAGGGATCGGCTTGGGGTCGAAGGTCGCTATCACCCCGAAGTCCTCACACACGCGGTGCAGGATGAAGCGGGCCACCCAGAGGTGGTCCCCCATGTGGATGCCTTCACAAGGCCCGATCTGGAACTCCCACTACAGGAAGACATTGGGTTAGAGCAGTGGCCGCAGGCCTGCTCCCTCTGCCCTGGAGGCAACAGGGCAGCCCTCACCTGGGCTGGCATGACCTCGGCGTTGGTGCCCGCGATCTTGATGCCCGCGTAGAGGCAGGCCCGGTAGTGCGCCTCCACGATGTCTCGGCCGTAGGCCTTGTCGGCGCCCACGCCACAGTAGTAGGGACCTAGGGGTGGGCAGGGGTCAGTGCCAGAACCTGGGCCTAGTCCATCCCCCCAGACAAGCAAAGGGCTCACCTTGTGGCCCGGGGAAGCCATTAGAAGGCCAGCCGAAGGGGTGCCCGTCGGTGCCCATGAGCGTGTACTCCTGCTCCATTCCAAACCACGGGTGCTGGCTGCTGACCATGTCCATGATGTGCTTGCAGGTATACCGCAGGTTGCTCTCTGTACAGGAGTCCCAGTGAGCGTGCCAAGCCGTCCCCAAATTCAAGGGGTGACCCTGCCCCGACAGCTCAGGAAGGCAACCGCGCCCCCTCCCCACAGCTCATGGGGGTGAGTTCATCCGCAACGGCTCAAGGGGGTGGGGCAACTGTAGGGCCACCCCAGGACTGGGTACAGTGACCATGTGCCCAGAAGACCACACTGGCCACCCTCCCCGCCCAGCCTCACTGCACTACCTCTCCAGGGCAGAAGCCAGGGTCTACAGAGGGAGACAGCTGCACCGTGCCAGCAGCCATTAACCCCCCAAAGTGATGGCAGCCGACAGCACAGCACCAGACCGCTGCCCGCAACTTGCCGCTCATGAACCAAGGTGCCCAGTGTCACCACAGGACAGCCCAGAGTTGACGGGCAGTCAGCGGCAGCCCCACGACACCAGACCCCAAAGTCAGGCTGGCCATAAGACCTCCCCTCTCCTTCCCCATCAGGGCAGGCTGAGAGCTCAACTCTGGGACCACCAACTTCACACCCACCTATCCCGCACATCTGCAGGTCCAGCTGGGGACACACACCTGTCCCCCACACCCGCAGGCTCAGCTGGGGACACACACCTGTCCCCCACAACCACAGGCTCAGCTAGGGACACGTACCTGGTCCATATACCCACCTGCAGGCTCAGATGGGGACACACACCTGTCCCCCACATCTGCAGGTCCAGCTGGGGACACACACCTGTCCCCCACACCTGCAGGCTCAGCTGGGGACACACATCTGTCCCCCACACCAGCAGGCTCAGCTGGGGACACACACCTGTCCCCCACACCTGCAGGCTCAGCTGGGGACACACACCTGCCCCATATACCCACCTGCAGGCTTCCGGTTGTACTTGAGGACCTCGCAAAACACCAGCTTGTTGGGGTCCTTGCGGAAGGGGTCACGGAACATGGCGGCAGGGATGAGATACATGTCGCTGTTGGAGCCTTCTGACTGGAAGGTGCTGGACCCATCAAAGTTCCACTCAGGGAGCTCTGGAGATCCAAGACAGGAAATTCGGCCTAGACTGCCCAGGCGAGCAGCCGCTCCCTGCGTCCATTCCCCACTCCATCGCACAAGGCTTCTGTGTCCTTGGCACCCCTAAGCGCATCGTCCTCATAGAAAGGAGCAGAGGCGATGCCTTGGGGCTCTGAGGGGCAGGGCACCCCAGGCCACCCCCCACCTCCCTTTGCCCTCACTCCCCTGGCAGCCAGGGCCTGCCCAGCACCTGCCGCAGCAAGTGCCCAGCCCTCAGTCCCTCAGGCCCCTTGCCAGCTGTGGGCTGCGCAGCAAGCAACGGCGCCAGGCAGGTTGGTGTGTGGACCACGGAACAACTCAGGAAAGCCACTCCGACTACATGCAGGCTGAGGCAGGTCCCACGGGAGCCTCCTCGGAACACAGTGTTGGGGCTCCCACACAGGTGTGTCCAGGCACCCCGGCTCACCTTCCACACACTTGGGCTCGCTGTCCAGCGTGCGGGTCTTGCAGCGCAGCCCCTCCCCGGTGCCGTCGATCCAGATGTACATGGCCTGCACCTTCTCCCCCTGCGGCAGGCCCATGTACACCTGCTTGATGCCTTTGTTGAGGTGGGAACTTGCCGAGGTGGTCATGGTAGATGGCGTCCTGTGGGGACAGGAGCACACGCCCAGGTCCTAAGCCTGTCCCAGAAGCACACGCCCAGGTCCTAAGCCCGTCTCAGGAGCTGCCAGCCCACCCGGCCCACCCGCTGATCCTCCCTTTGCAAACCTCCACGCCCTGCAGGCCGCAGGAGGGGCTGCAAGTCTGTGGTCCCACCCACTCCTCCAGCCGGTTTCACCAAGGCCCAATCCCTCAGAGCTCCCAGGGTGAAGTCCCTGAGCCACTCAGCAGCCCCAGCTGGAATCTCCGCCGGGGGCCTGCGCCTTCCCGATAACCCCCAGGGTCCCAGGAAGCAAACAAAGTGCAAAAGTTCGGCCACAGGCCGGGGAACAAGTCCGCCCGCAGCGCAAACACCACAACAGCAGCCCAGGCGGGCGGGCAGGGGCCGCCCTCCCCCAACGAGGAAGTGGGGCGCCGCTCGGCCCCGAGGACCAGGAGCCGTGGCCCGCGGCCGGCGGGGGTGGGGTGCTGGGAGGCAGCAGGGCGCGGCCGGCCCGGGCTCCCCTCCCCGGCCCGGGCTCCAGGCGCTCACCCGAGCCGAGGCAGGTCCGACCAGGGCAGGTGCGGCGCGACGCGCAGCGCGCTCGGCCTCGGCCCGCGTTCGCGCCCCGCGGGCGGCTCGCGCAGGTCCAGGCAGCGGACCTTGCGCGGCGAGGGCGACGGCGTGGGGGACGCGGGGCGCTCGGCCCTTGAGGTCCTGACCTTGGCGTGCGCCCTCTCCCCCGAGTTCACCGAGTAGGCCACAAAGCCGAAGCAGTTGGAGCGGGACTCGGAGGAGCGCGGGCCGCCGTCGTCCTCATCTTGGTCCGCGGCCTTGCGGCAAGGGCCCGACCCCCGCTTCCCGGCCCCGGGGGAGAAGCGCGACTCCACCTTGCGCGCCCAGCGCCCCGCGCGCCTGGTCCCGGCCGCGGCCCGGGGGAGGCGGCACCGGTCGGGGGTGCGGCCCGCATTGTTGGGTCACCCGAGGCCGGGGAGCCTGTGGGCGCGCCGCCCCAGCCCCGGCGTCTCCACCTGCTCACCTACCTGGTCGGCGAGGGGCGCGACGCTCGGATCGGATCGGATCGGCTCTGCTCGCCTCGGCTCGGGTCGGCTCGGGTCGGGTCGGGTCGGATCGGATCGGATCGGACCGGCTCCCGTGAGGCGCCCGACTCCCGAGGTTCCCGGATCCCGAGACTCCCGGCTCTCTGCTCCAGAGGCCCCGGCCCCACGCCTTTATCGTGGCCCGCGGCCCGGCCCGCCCCGGCCCGCCCCGGCTCGGATTGGGTCGGTGGCCGCCCCGCCCCGTCGCCGGGGAGGGCGCGAAGATGACGGCGCGCGGGACCAGGGCGGGCGCCGAGGGCGCCACCTGGCGGCGGGGCGGGGAGCCCACGGCTAGGGGACCCCACGATTGAGGGGACCCTACGGCTGCAGCAGAACCCACGGCTAGGGGACCCCACGGTTGCGGGGAGCCCACGGTGCAGGGACCCCACGGGCGCCAGCCCAGCACAGGCAGGTTGCCTGCACCTTGTCCTCAGTGGGCACAGGTTACCAGAGCCCATTCAAGGGGACTAGCAGAGCAACTGTCACGTGCCCTGCAGACCGGGCTGTTTCTTTGCCAGTAGCTGCTGGCAGGCCACTCAGGGTGACTAGGAGGCCCTGACTTGCCTGCGGGTGGCAGCCACAGTTTAAGCCTTTGCATTCATAACCCTTGAGTTTGGGGCCTAGGCTTTGTTCCCAGCTGGTACCTGCTGGGCTGGCTCGAGGCCTGCCACCGCCTGGAGCACGGCCCTGCCGAGGCTGGTGGTGGATCAATGCTGTTTGCTGAGCACACAGGGGCAGCGGCGGCATCAAGGTGCTTGGAGCGGCCTTTCTAAGGATGTGGCCAGGCCTGTTCATCTGGCTGAGGACAGAGTGGACCCTCGGCTCCCTTCCCCCACCCCCACCACTCGGGGAGTGCAGACTAGCTAGGGAGACGCAGGCTGCAGCCAGGAGCCCAGGGGGTGGGCCCAGCTGCCCTGGCCACAGAACCTTTGTTCTCTCCTCTGTGGCTGCCCCGGGGAGGTCGTCCAAGGAAGTGACCCCACGCACACCACTTACCCTTGGGTGTGGAGGATAGCAGGGGCTCTGAAGTCCTGTTTTACTCTGTGTCCTGGGGACAGCCAGATGGGAGCCCCTGGTACGGGCGTAGCCTGGGGCAGCCCACAGGACTTCCAGCTTGTTCTGCCACTAGAATAAAGGCCTCCACTCCACCTACTCATAGCCTCTTTCCCTTCATTTCGTTATAGTTGTTTACTGAAAATGCAGAATTTCAGACCCAGCACAATGGCCTAGCGGCTAAATCCTCACCTTGCATGCACTAGGATCCCATAAGGGCACCAATTTGTGTCCTGGCTGTTCCACTTCCCATCCAGCTCCCTGCTTGTAGCCTGGGAAAGCATTCGAGGACAGCCCAAAGCTTTGGGACCATGCACCTGCGTGGGAGACCTGGGGAAAGCTCCTGGCTCTTGGCTTCAGATTGGCTCAGCTTCAGCCATTGTGGCCACTTGGGGAGTAAAACAGCAGACAGAAGAACTTTCTAAATCTGCCTTTACAATAAAAATAAATAAATCTTTTTTAAAAATGCAGAGTTCCTACCTGCTGCTGGTTCACTCCCCAAATGACCACAGCGGCAAAGCCAGGGCATCATCCTGCCCTCCCATGAGGGGACAGAGGTTTAAGCACTTGGGCTATCCACCACTGCTTCCCTAGGCCATCAGTGGATCAGCCAGGCTCGAACCAGTGCCCATTCGGGATGCTGGCATCTCAGGCGGTGGCTTGACCTGCTGCCCCAGGATGCCCATCCCCTGACCCGTGGCCTGATGGTGCTCCCAGGGCCCCAGGCCTCAGACCTGACCATGGTGTTTGGGAAGCAGATTTCCTGATGTGAGAAAACCTGAACAGGGCTGGGGAGTCCGGGAAGCCTAAGCTGCAAGGATAGAATTTGTAAACAGACACCAGCTCTGAACCAAGGAAGCAGAGGCAGTGTGTCCTGGGCGGCCAGACCCTGTGCCCTGCAGCATTCCTGGGCACCTCTGGAGGCAGCAGGCTGGGTCCGGTCTTGGGTGGGAGTGTGGGGCTGTATAGGGTGCCTTGTGAGACTCTGAGCCTGGTGGCACCATGCTGTGCCAGGGAAACCAGTTAGGATGCCATGGAGGAGAGGAAGGGCAAACGGGCAGGAGGAAGGGAGCATCGGAGCTCACGGGCAGGACACACGCAGAGGCAGGCCCCGATCCACCTTCGCTCCACATGCAGGTTGTGGGAATCCTATGGTCTGGACCAGCCGCCCTGCACACGACAGGCTGTGTCCTGCGTCTGGCCCAGTCAGCCGGGGGGCTCTAGTACCACCCTCACCCTGTTCTGACCAACATCCCGCTGTGTGTTCCTGGACTCCAGGGTCTGCCACACACCTGGCGTCCCTTTCCCTCCCTTGACACTCCAGCCGGGCACCACCATCTTTGAAAGGCTCAGGATGCACTGAGGGCCAGCCCGTCCCAGGAACCCTTGCTTGTGCCGGGGTCCTCGCAGCATCTGGCCTGGGTTACTTCATGCTCCCAGCCTTTGTTCCTGGGCTGCCTCATTTGGGCTCCGCGCCCCCTGGTGGAGCAGCCAAGGGCTACCTGCGCAGCTGGGGCACCCAGAGGGCAAGGGTCTGTCCCAAGGCCTGGAGTGGGTGTCCTGCCCAGGGCAGCAGGGTCAGTGCGAGATGCCAACTGAGGGCCAGAGGACAAAGCGGCTTGGGGACGCTAGTGGGCCAAAGGTGCACTGATCCTGGGGTGTTAAGGTTGGAGTGCGAGGGGCTCTTTCGCCCATAACTTTATTCATGCGCTTATGGGGGAGGGGAGGGACACACAGACCGTGGGTTAACACCCCAGTCGCCCAAGTCCCCCTGTGGGGTACAGAGGTGGTCTGTTTGCCTGAGCCATCACAGGTGCCACATCCCAGGGACTGGATCAGCCAGAGCCGGAGAGGAGCCAGGTGCCCAGACGAGGGCAGGTGGTTGGTTAAAGACTCACCTCATGTGAGAACTCTGACATGAAGATACGCCTGCAGGTGGTGTGTCTGCCCTCCCCACCTGTGTGTCCCAGTGGGAATCGGTTTTGCAGTCATTCACATGATGCTTACTGCCAAGTCCTCATCTGACAAGGCTCGCGTGCAGGACGCCTGCTGGCGTCTCTGAGAGCTGCTGTCCATCATTTCCTTCCCCCGGCTGAGTCTTTGTGCACCTGTGTCCTGTGGGCAGCTTCTGGCCTTCACAGACCCTGCTCTCCTCCTCCACACCAACGGGAGGCTCTGAGGACCTGAGAGTGCCCGGCACAGGGCTGGGGACAGCAGGAGGCAGTGGGGTGCGCTAGGGCCTAGGCAGCCCAGGTCCGGTCTCAGGGTACATCTGGACCAGGAGGGCCTGCTCTTCCGTCTCTGGCTGTGCTCCCTCCCGCAGCAGCGCATAGTGGGGCCCTGGGGCACCCACGGGGGACGGCTTCAGGCCCAGGCTGCGGCAGCGCAGCCACAGCAGAGAGAGGCCATGGACCCCCAGCAGGCACAGGGCGTCGCCCATCACGTGCCAGCAGAAGAACGTGGTGACAAACATGATGTCGCTGATGTCGTCATCCTGCCATGGGTAGCCCGAGACTGGCCTGTACAGGATGAAGCCGGCCTGCATCAGCCAGGAGCCCATGAGGAGGAAGAGGAAGGTCTGAATGACGTGGAGGCAGCAGGTGTGGGGGGCCCAGAGCTGGGCGGTCAGCACCAGCACCAGCAGCAGCACCACCAGGATGAGCAAGATGTGCACCTGCAGCTCCACGCCCGACGACTCCTTGACATGTGACGCCAGCAGCAGCAGCAGCTCGTAGAAGCCCAGAGCCAGGGCGCCCTGCTCCAGGGCCAGGCACCTGCGAGGCAGTAGGTGCTTGCTCACGAGCTCCACGCAGCCCAGCAGGGCCAGGAGGGTAAACATGGTGAGGTGCTGCCACTCCTGGGGGTACATGAACCTGGGCGGCAGCCCCCGGTCCATCAGCACCAAGCCCCCTTCCACACAGTTGACCTCATAAACCATCAAGAGGGAGCCGGCCACTGTCTTCAGCACCCCAGTGTAAGACACAGTCCACAGCCAGGCCCACCTGCCCTGGCTCCTGGCAGCATGTGGGGGCTGCTGGATGGGGTTGCCAACTATCAGGTCCTTGGACACTACGGTGGCCTGGTGCAGTGAGTACAGGACCAGGAAGAGTCCTGGGTACACGTGGCCACCGAAATTTCCCATTGGCCTGCAGAGCTGTGCCAGGACTAGAGCCCACAGCAGCTCTGGAGAACAGCACCGTGTCCTTTCTCTTATGGCCTCCCTCTGCCCACAGCTGCCCTGGGAGCCCACACCCTGCCGGAAGAGCCCGCACTGTGCCTCTCCAGCTAGAACATCGGGAGCCATCAGCAGAAGGCTTGGAACGGCTCAGGATTCACTAGCCACTTCCCAGAGCGTCCTGCTGTCCTGTCCAAGCTGGCAAGCACCCTGTGGGTCCTGGAAAAGGTCCAGGTGCTAAACCAGACCTCTCTGATGCAGTGTCCAGTCCTAGGCACGCTTCTCCCTTCCCCAACAGACATGTCCTACAGACTCCCGGGCCATTCCCTACTCCCTCCTTCCTGACTGTGCCCGTCCACTTGGCCAGAGGGTGCCGAGCAGAGGCCACACTGTGAACTGATCTGCCAGAATAGCTGAGTTGGGCACATGTGTCTCAGATGGCTTGACTCAGGGTTGGCCACCAGTGAGCCTGCATTAAACTAGGGGTGGAAGAAAGCAGAAACAAAAGGAGCTCCCTGAGGGACCGGTGCTCCCTGAGGGACCGGTGCTCCCTAAGGGTCAGGTGCTCCCTGAGGGACAGGTGCTCCCTGAGGGACCAGTGCTACTGAGGGTCAGGTGCTCCCTGAGGGACCAGTGCTCCTAAGGGTCAGGTGCTCCCTGAGGGTCAGGTGCTCCTAAGGGTCAGGTGCTCCCTGAGGGGCCGGTGCTCCCTGAGGGTCAGGTGCTCCCTGAGGGACCAGTGCTCCCTGAGGGACCGGTGCTCCCTGAGGGTCAGGTGCTCCCTGAGGGTCAGGTGCTCCCTGAGGGACCAGTGCTCCTAAGGGTCAGGTGCTCCCTGAGGGTCAGGTGCTCCCTGAGGGGCCGGTGCTCCCTGAGGGTCAGGTGCTCCCTGAGGGTCAGGTGCTCCCTGAGGGTCAGTTCTCCTGAGGCTCTGTGGGTGAACCCCCCAGTTCTCTGTGGGTGCCTACTAGGAAAGGGACAGGTCACCCTGGGTCTTTGTCTTTTCTCATTGCTCCCTACTGTCTCCAGTGCCTGTGTGACTCAGCAGGACCCTGATCCCAGCCACCAACTGGGGCAGTCACAGCTTCCCATCCCTGCTTCGAGTCTGTTTCTCCAACCCCATCATATCCCCTCATCATCTACAGTTAAGGGAAGCAGCTCCGGGGGTCATGTGGCCATTGGTGTGTCCACATCAAGTGGCCAAGCATGTCCTCATTCGTGGACCTCTGACCCAGGTGCAGCTGCTTGGAAAGGCAGAGTGACTGCCCCTGGACAATGACCAGCTCAGAGCCAAGACTCCTTCAGCTCTGCTGGGCTGAGGGATGCCCGGGGCAGAGCTCCCCTGCTCCCAGCCTCCTACAGTCCTGAGCCCAGGACCCACTGCCACGTACCAATGGCTCCCCTGGTGGGAAGCAGGCTCCTGCATACCTACGATACAGGCTGCTGTGAGCAAGCAGGCCAACTCAAGAGGAGGCCCAGGGCCTGCCATGGCAGCCATCGACAAGGGGCGTTGCTGGCTCTGCATCCACAACAGAGCACCGAGAGGGCTTCACTGCACTGTGTGGGGACAGAGGTGCCTGGAACCCCTTGGGGTACTGTGGGAGGAGCACAGGGCTGGACTTCGGAGGCATTGTCTGGGCCAGGGTCTGTGGGTGAGGCCAAGGGACCACGAGGGGCCGGGAGCTGAGGCCACCAGCACCCAAGCACATGTCCACACACTGGCCCTGTCATGGGCAAGGACTTGGCATAGCCACTACGTGCGACACACCAGGTCCTGCTTCACCCCAAGCTCAGGCTGACCCCCTGCGCACCTGGGTGTATGAGGGCACAGTCCCGGTGACTCCCGTTTCTGTCACCTTGGCCCACGCCTCCCGGTTGTGCTCTCACGCATGGAAAGACGAGGACATGGGCCGCCTTCAGTCTGGCCTGTGGTCACTTCTGGGGCTCCTGCCCTACACCCACCACCCTGCCCCCTGCCGCACACAGCCCTTCCCTGCCTGTGCTCATTAAGGCACCCTCTGCCCACGGCCCAGCGAGCCAGGTGGTGAATAATTAGTGCAGATTTCAGATGGCTGGAGCCTGCAGGCAGCATCCCACCTGGAAACCCTCCCTCCCATGCCTACCCAGGCTGAGGGACGCCCCCGTCCCCCACCAAGTGGGACCTGCTTGCCCCAGCCATGGGCTCCCTTTCCGGCTCCTTTCTGCCAGCTGCCCTCTAACTGACCCTAAGTGACCCTAAGTGACCACCTGGTGACAGGTGGTGGTCTGGAACAGGTGGTGGACTGCCCAGGGAACCCCCTGTGTACATTGCCCAGGTTAGGAGGGGTCCTCAGGGCAGCTGAGTGGCTTCGGGGCCCTGGGGGATGGGGGGGCATGGCCAGGAGAGGTTCCTGGTATGTTGGGCAATGGCCCCTTGACTGGGGAAAGAAGGGCATTGCCACAGTCACCCCATGGATCTGCAGATGAGGCCACCTCAGCCAGCCCAAGCCGTGGGGGCGGGGCTGTGACCCAGCAGGGGGCCACTGAGGCACTGTGGTGATGCAGAGCTGGGTCAATGAGCATCCAGTGGGTTCCGGATTCTGCTACTCTGGCCAGCAGGTAAGTGGCACATGCTGACTGTGTGTCGCGGGGGGGCGGGGGAGGGCACCTGGGTGTTGTCAGGAGATCCTCAAGGCCTGCTATTGCATGTGGGCAGCAGGCCCTGGGCAGGGTCACCTGGGGTCACTGCATCCTGACCTGCTTGTCCTCATGGATACTCCCAGTTCCCAGACTGAAGTTGGGTTCACTGGGGGCCAACGTGGCAACCCACAGGGCAATGGTTCAAATCCCGGCTGTACCATCCAGCTCCCGGCTCGTGACCTGGGAAAACAGTCAAGGACGGCTCAAAGCCTTGGGACCCTGCACCCCTGTGGGAGACCCAGAAGAAGCTCCTGGCTCTAGCTGTGATCTGGCCCATCCCTGACCATTGAGGCCATCTGCGAGTGAACCAGCGGATGGAAGATCTGTTTGTTTCTCCCTTTCTCTCTGTGTCTCTACCTTTCAAATAAATAAAAATAAATCTTAGGAAAAGACAAAGCTCACTTTGCTCCTTTCTCCGTCAAGTGTGCGGGTAGGTGATGACTTCCCAGGCCCCGTTCCTTCCAATGAGATCTGGCCGAGTGAAGGAGTCTGCCCCTCCAAGTGGCCTCTGAGGGAGATGCCTTCGCGTATGTGTGAGACTGGGGGAGCCCCCCACAGCAACTCAGCCTACAGCCCCCACCCCATGGCCTGAGTTGGGCAGCCCCCAATGGCGGCCCCCTGCAGCCCTCACCCCACAGCCTGGATGGGACAGCCCCCAACAGCAGCCCACCTGCAGCCCTCACTCCACGGCCTGAGACTCTGCCTTCCACTGCTCACACATCATCCATGCCAGCATTGCAGGTTCCGCTCAGTTTGTCTCTGTGTCACTCCCTGACAGTTACATGGCCACCCCCTCCTGGGGGTTGCATGTGGGCTACAGTCCCCAGGGACCCAATGTTGGAGCTTCTGTGGAAAACTCACCCTGGCCAGTTGGTGATGGTTTGCTGGCAGGGCCACCAAGAGCCTGAGCTCTCACTGTGGGTGGGAACAGCCAACAACTTCAGGTTTGGGGGGCCCAATTGCCAGGGCACCAAATGGAACAGATTCCTGAGTGACCCCAAAGGCAGCACTGCCCATAGCACCCCCACAGCCAGGGCCCCCTAATTCTGGGTGAAGCCCGAGTGGATGTGTCCAGCAAGTCACACACCAGTCTCCTCAGGAGGCAAGTGCACGCTGACTGTAGTGCCGGGCAGGCATTGGCTGACAGTGGCCGGGCCCACAGGACCAACGTCCACTGCAGGGACAGACACCCTCAGCTTGACTTGGATGTCCCTGTCAGCTGATCCCACAGAGTGTAGACGGTCTACTCTCTGCCTGCCATGCACACTTGTTCCTTCCCCGTCCTCCCTCACCAAGGGCAGAGTTCTCAGCTTTTGAAGGATGGAGTGACACACAGAGGCAGACGCAGGAGATGGAGGATTCATCACGGGCCACTCCCCAGACAGGCACAGCTGCTGTGCTGGTGTCCCAAGGCTCAGGTGCACCAGCCACCGAGCCAGGTGCAGGGTCCAGGCTCGGGTGTCACTGGCCACCTTCCCAGGCACGTCAGCAAGAGCTGGATAGAAAGCGGAGCGGTTGGGTTCTCCCTGAGGCGCCAGTATAGGACAAGGATGTCTCAGGAGGTGACAGTCCTGTGTTGGGGAACCTGACTAGAAGATACCCACTTTTGCTGAGGCTTGGTCACGCACAGCCGTCCATCCTGGCCGTGCCCCTCTGGCTCTGCTTGTTTTGCTGACCCACCTATGTCATTTGAGGGGCCAATGACGAGGACATCTGCTCACTGAGAAGGGGGCCTGGCCATGTGGTGGCTCCCAGCGGAACAGAGCTGTGGCACTGCCTCCTCCTGACCCCTGTGAGTAGGGAAAGAGCCAACCCATTCCTCACACTGTGAGGAGAGACAGAGCTGTGGAGCGGCCCAATCCCTGACATTGTGAAGAGAGACAGGGCCGTGGTGTGGCCCAATCCCTGACACTGTGAGGAGAGACAGAGCCGTGGTGCAGCCCACTCCCTGACACTGTGAGGAAAGACAGAGCCGTGATACAGCCCACTCCCTGACACTGTGAAGAGAGACAGAGCTGTGGTAGGCCCAATCCCTGACGCTGTGAGGAAAGACAGAGCCGTGATCCAGCCCACTTCTGACACTGTGAAGAGGGACAGAGCTGTGGTACGGCCCACTCCCTGACACTGAGAGGAGAGACAGGGCTGTGGTGTGGCCCACTCCCTGACACTGTGAAGAGAGAGAGAGCCGTGGTGTGGCCCACTCCCTGATACTGTGAAGAAGGACAGGGCCATGGCACAACCCACTCCCTGACACTGTGAAGAGAGACAGAGCTGTGATACGGCCCAAT